ATGGACGACGGGGCTGCTGGAGGCAGCTACAGGGCGCATCGGCGATTTAGAAGAGGAGGCCACCAGGTTTGGGGGGCTGGAAGGGTGATTGGCGGAGCCTAGAGGTAGAGCAGAGCCAACTCCCCGTACTCAGGCTAGGCAGCGTGAGACTGGGCAGGTTCTGAGTTATGCGGAGCTACGTACTGTGCCGCGAGTGTTCCGGCACAGTCCTGTACGTCCTGTGCTAGCACCACGCACGTGTCGTGCTAAGGTGGGCATGCAGCCAGGACGGAGTGTGCCGGCTCAACGTTCGTGGCCTCCAGTACCCCTCCTCGGTCCCGGATATCCTGCGCCAGTGCCACGTGCTGTAGTGTCAGTACGAGTGCACAGCCCTGTACGTCCTGTGCTGATGCCTCACACAGAGTGTGTGGAAATAGGCATTCAGCCAGGACGGGTTGTGTCAGCTCTCCGTTCCAGACCTCCAGTCCGTCTCCACAGTCCAGCCCGGCCTGTTCCTGTCCCTCGCACCAAGCCTGTGGTGCGCGTCGCCAGCCCGGTCCGGCCTGTTCCTGTCCCTCGTACCAAACCAGTGGTGCGCGTCGTCAGCCCGGTCCGGCCCGTTCCTGTCCCCCGCACCAAGCCTGTGGTGCGCGTCGCCAGCCCGGTCCGGCCTGTTCCTGCTCCCCGCACCAAGCCAGTGGTGCGCGTCGTCAGCCCGGTCCGGCCCGTTCCTGCTCCCCGCACCAAGCCAGTGGTGCGCGTCGTCAGCCCGGTCCGGCCCGTTCCTGCTCCCCGCACCAAGCCAGTGGTGCGCGTCATCAGTCCGGCACGGTCCGTGCCTGTTCCACCGCAGCTGCTCCACACCGGAGCCAGAGCAATCCGCTCCACCGATGTCCAGTCCAGCTCCGGCCAGCGGGGCCAGACCAGACCAGGGGCGCTACGGAGGGGTAGAGAGAGAGTGGTGGTCACGCCCGGAGCCGGATCCGCCTCCGAGGCGGAATGCCCACCCGGCCCCTACCCTCTTGTGTTTGGTTGGCGCGGTCGCAGTCCGTGCCTTTGTGGGGGGGGGTACTGTCACGCCCTGGCTCTGGGGACTCTTATATGTTGAGCCAGGGTGTGGATTTTCTATGTGTTATTTTCTATGTTTTGTTCTAGTTCATGTATTTCTATGTTGGCCAGGGTGGTTCCCAATCAGAGGCAGCTGTAGCTTGTTGTCTCTGATTGGGGACCATACTTAGGCAGCCTGTTTGGCACTGTTTATTGTGGGATCTTGTTCCGTAAGGTTTGTTTTGGTGTTAACCTAGGACTTCACGTATCGTTTGTTTTGTTGTTTTGGTTCGTGTTGTGTACTGCAATAAAATAATGTATGCATATCACGCTGCGCCTTGGTCCGCTGCATATAACGACGATCGTGACAGACGGCACGTGTTTCCTTGCAGGTAACCATGGTTAACAGAGGAAGAACAATGATTTCAAGCACCACCCTCCTTTTAAAGCTTCCAGTCTGTTATTCTAACTCAATCAGCATGACAGAGTGATCTCCAACCTTGTCCTCATCAACACTCTCACCTGTGTTAACGAGAGAATCACTTACATGATGGCAGCTGGTCCTTTTGTGGCAGGGCTGAAATGCAGTGGAAATGTTTTTTGGGGATTAAGTTCATTTTCATGGCAAAGAGGGACTTTGCAATTAATTGCAATTCATCTGATCACTCTTCATAACATTCTGGAGTATATGCAAATTGCCATCATAAAAACTGAGGCAGCAGACTTTGTGAAAATTCATATTTGTGTCATTCTCAAAACTTTTGACCACGACTGTATGTAAGATTATAGAATGTATGATTACGGAGAGGCTAACTTACTTCCTGGAGAGCAGAGGGCTAGTATCGCCACATCAGAGTGGGTTCAGGAAGGGTACGGCAACTATGGATCCAGCAGAGGTCATGAAGGCTCAGGTGAACAAGGAGACTGTTGTAGCTGTCTTTTTTTATGTGGAGAAGGCGACTGATATGATGTGGAAGGAGGGGTTGTTAATCAAGCTTGATATTATTGGGGTAGGAGGAAGAACGTACAACTGGATAAAGGATTTCCTGTTTGGAAGGTCTATCCAGGTGAGGGTGGGGAAGTCTTTATCAGGCAGCTACTTGGTGGATAACGGTACACCACAGGGGAGCGTGATTAGTCCTCTGTTGTTCTCAATCATGATCAATGATGTTTACACTCAGGTACAGCCAGATATAGGGAGGTGGTTATTTGCAGATGATGGGGCCTTATGGAAGAGGGGAAGAAATGTGCCATACATAGTCAGGAAGGTACAGGAAGCAATTGATGTGGTATAGCGGTGGGCATTAATGTGGGGATTCAGGTTCTCTGTAGAGAAAACTCAAACAGTGTTCTTTACCAGGAGGAAGGTGGGAGATGAGGTATGCTTGAGGTTATATGGGAGAAACTTGGAGAGGGTGGGGGCCTTCAGGTTCCTTGGGGTATACTTTGACACTAGACTGACCTGGGCAGAACACATTGAGAGAGTGGTGGGAAAGTGTAAGAAGGTGCTAAATGTGATGCGCTGTCTGACGGGGAAGGAGTGGGGGGCTGGGAGTTCCTAAATGAAGACCATGTATGTTGCATTGATCCAATCTGTAATAGACTATGGAAGTATAGCATATGGCTCGGCAGCCCGGACCTCACTGGAAAGGCTAGATGTCATACAGGGGCAAGGACTCAGAATATGTAGTGGGGCGTTTCGGACGTTCCCAGTGGCTGCATTACAGGTGGAGATGGGGGATATGCCATTGCAGATTAGGAGACAGCAGCTGGCAATGAATTATTGGGTCAACCTACAAGGACATGGGGTGTCTCATCCTGTGAAAGGGATTTTACAGGCATGCTGGGAACATGAGCGAAGACAGAACACGAGCTTTGGGTGGGTAATACCAAGGCGAAGGAGATGGGACTGGATGGAAGTGAGTTTAGTCCAACGGTAGTTATTCCTGTAAATCCACCATGGCTACTCCCGCCTCCAGTAGTTGATCTAGAAGTGTTGGAGAGACTACAGAGAGATAGGGAGGGTGTTGATCCATCTGATTTCTTTAATAGACGTCTGGAAACTGTGTATCAGGATTTTGTGGCTATTTACACAGATGGTTCAAAAGATCCAAGGACAGGATGTACTGGGTCAGCATTTGTAGTGCAGGAATGTGGGGTGGAAGTCAGGAAACGTATTACAGATAATCTGGCTGTATATACGGCGGAGCTGATGGCCATACTGTTGGCCTTGCAGTGGGTGGAGAAAGTCAAACAAGACAGAGTAGTTATTTGCTCTGATTCATGTGCAGTGTTAATGAGTCTCCAGTCCTTTGGCTCACGTAGCAGACAAGACCTGCTTTATGAGGTGCTACAAACCCATGGCAGGATTAAACAGATGGGAATACAGATAAGATTTACGTGGGTCCCAGCCCATGTTGGGGTGGAGGGGAACGAGGCAGTAGATGAACTGGCTAAACAAGCACTTAGTAGTGGGGCTGGTCCTCTGTAGCTCAATTGGTAGAGCATGGCGCTTGTAACGCCAGGGTAGTGGGTTCGATCCCCGGGACCACCCATACGTAAAAATGTATGCACACATGACTGTAAGTCGCTTTGGATAAAAGCGTCTGCTAAATGGCATATTATTATTATATTATTGATGTTGAAGTTTCAATGAGCAAGGCAGAGGCAAAAATACTGATATATACAGTGATGGTGCAGAGATGGCAGGAGCAGTGGAATAGAGATAATAAGGGAAAGCATTTATTTCAAGTACAGAGGAAAGTCGGGGAGGGGAGGACGGCAGGAAGGGACAGAAGAGAGGAGGCTATTTTTACAAGATTAAGGGTGAGACACAGCGAGTTGAATAAGACATTACATGTGATAGGAAAGCATCCAACAGGAAAGTGTGACCATGGAGCATGTATTGCTACAGTGTGGGCAGTATAAGAGGGAAAGAGAGAGGATGAGATCTAGTATGAGGGAGAAGGGGATACAGGAAATTAGTTTAAAGAGTATATTGAGTAAAACGTCATTAGATATAGTCTCAAATATTTTGTTATCTTTTTTAAGAGCAACGGGACTGGCAGGTAGGATTTAGTTTCTCCCTGTCTCTGGCCCACACTCCAGTACAGTAGGTGGCGGTAATGCACCATAACGTTGGATGCCAACCGCAGATAAACCCCACTGAAGAAGAAGAAGAAGAAGAAGTCTATTCATGGCTCGCCCACTTTTGCGCGCGATCCTACAGTGTTCAGGAGAGCGTGTATAATTTATGTGCCTTTTCCACTACCGCCTAACTGTGTGTTTGGTCCTGAGAGTGTGTGAGCGACACACAAAATCATCACAGGGGAAATGTCGAGAGTTTACATTGGAAGATTGAGCTATCGAGCAAGGGAAAAGGACGTCGAGAAGTTCTTCAAGGGCTATGGGAAGATACTTGAAGTTGACCTGAAAAACGGGTAACAAAATGAACGCCGCTCTCTCGTAGCTCTGTAGCTAACGCTAGCTAGCTTACCGCGTTGTGTTTGTGGCCTAGTCCTAGTAGCTAGGCCCAAGCCTGTTGAAGCGCCTTTTATTGATAATTATCGTACATTGTTAGAGTTTGGCAACCTGGTTGATGTATTATTCATTTCTATGGATTAGAATTTGAAGATGTTTGCTAGACAACCAAAGTTTGCTAACTAATTTCGTTTAACTATCGTTAGCTAGCTACTAGTACCTAGCTAACGTTAGCACTTAATTGTTTTGTTTTCAGAGTACTAGACGTTTCCTCTTTTTCATGTAATCGCAAGCCACGTGTCAGAAAGGTAGTTAAATGTTTATAGCTAAAATCTTAACTAGGTAACGTTAGCAAGCACCTTAAAATAACAGTTGGGCATGCTAGCTATCTGCTTGACTTGCACAACGACGTTACGCTAGTTAGCTAACTTACCCCCCTAGCTGGCGACGTGGACACGTTTTCTGTAACTTGGCTTGCTGTACAGCCAACGATAATGGTGATATTTGGTGGATCAGATGAGACTCCATTTGCAAAGGCAGTTAGTAACACTATTACGTGGGATCAAAAACCAAATGCGGATTATTTCGACATAGCTAGTCTAAGTCGTCTCATAACGTTAACTGTACGCAAAACTGCACCATGTTTGCAGATGGAACGTGGCCCTCTAGCACCCTGCATTGATGGCACGTGTATAATAATAATAATGATATAATATGCCATTTAGCAGACGCTTTTATCCAAAGTGACTTACAGTCATGCGTGCATACATTTTTTTTTTGTGTATGGGTGGTCCCGGGGATCGAACCCACTACCTTGGCGTTACAAGCGCCGTGCTCTACCAGCTGAGCTACAGAGGACCACGTGTATGCTCGTGTTGTTTTCTTGTGATTCATGAGATGAGACCTACATGAGACATTATAATGAGGCCAAGCACAAATGATTGTGCCGTTATACAATACATATGCCTATATGATATAGGCTACTGCACATTACGCACGACAGAAAAACAAAAGCCCATATGTAGTTAGCTCTATGCTCTCTTGGATAAATAAATGAAACTAGCTCCAGTAGGCAAATCTTTTTGAGTCTGAACTTTTATTGTATTATATGGACTGGAATTATGCACATCCTTCAAACCATGGTAAAGCATTAAGGGAAAATGCGATTCTGGTGTAGCACATGCGGCCTACAAAGTTAAGTACAGGCTAGTGAATTAGATTTTCATTTTGAAATATAATAGGGCCTATTGGTGTAATTAGTAGGCTGATGCTTATATACCTTTCATAATAGTTCCCCTAATGTTATCAAAATCAAATCAAATCAAATTTTATTGGTCACATGCGCCGAATACAACAGGTGCAGACATTGCAGTGAAATGCTTACTTACAGCCCTTAACCAACAGTGCATTTATTTTAAACAAAAAAAGTAAGAATAAAACAACAACAACAAAAAAGTGTTGAGAAAAAAAAGCAGAAGTAAAATAAAGTGACAGTAGGGAGGCTATATATACAGTAAAATAAAGTGACAGTAGGGAGGCTATATATACAGGGGGGTACCGTTGCAGAGTCAATGTGCGGGGGCACCGGCTAGTTTAGGTAGTTGAGGTAATATGTACATGTGGGTAGAGTTAAAGTGACTATGCATAAATACTTAACAGAGTAGCAGCAGCGTAAAAAGGATGGGGTGGGGGGGCAGTGCAAATAGTCCGGGTAGCCATGATTAGCTGTTCAGGAGTCTTATGGCTTGGGGGTAGAAGCTGTTGAGAAGTCTTTTGGACCTAGACTTGGCACTCCGGTACCGCTTGCCGTGCGGTAGCAGAGAGAACAGTCTATGACTAGGGTGGCTGGAGTCTTTGACAATTTTGAGGGCCTTCATCTGACACCGCCTGGTATAGAGGTCCTGGATGGCAGGGAGCTTTGCCCCAGTGATGTACTGGGCCGTACGCACTACCCTCTGTAGTGCCTTGCGGTCAGAGGCCAAGCAGTTGCCATACCAGGCGGTGATGCAACCAGTCAGGATGCTCTCGATGGTGCAGCTGTAGAATTTTTTGAGGATCTGAGGACCCATGCCAAATCTTTTTAGTCTCCTGAGGGGAATAGGCTTTGTCGTGCCCTCTTCACGACTGTCTTGGTGTGTTTGGACCATGATAGTTCGTTGGTGATGTGGACACCAAGGAACTTGAAGCTCTCAACCTGTTCCACTACAGCCCCGTCGATGAGAATGGGGGCGTGCTCAGTCCTCTTTTTTTTTCCTGTAGTCCACAATCATCTCCTTTGTCTTGGTCACGTTGAGGGAGAGGTTGTTGTCCTGGCACCACACGGCCAGATCTCTGACCTCCTCCCTATAGGCTGTCTCATCGTTGTCGGTGATCAGGCCTACCACTGTTGTGTCGTCGGCAAACTTAATGATGGTGTTGGAGTCGTGCCTGGCCATGCAGTCATGGGTGAACAGAGAGTACAGGAGGGGACTGAGCACGCACCCCTGAGGGGCCCCCGTGTTGAGGATCAGTGTGGCAGATGTGTTGTTACCTACCCTTACCACCTGGGGGCGGCCCGTCAGGAAGTCCAGGATCCAGTTGCAGAGGGAGGTGTTTAGTCCCAGGATCCTTAGCTTAGTGATGAGCTTAGAGGGCACTATGGTGTTGAATGCTGAGCTGTAGTCAATGAATAGCATTCTCACATAGGTGTTCCTCTTGTCCAGGTGGGAAAGGGCAGTGTGGAGTGCGATAGAGATCGCATCATCTGTGGATCTGTTGGGGCGGTATGCAAATTGGAGTGGGTCTAGGGTTTCTGGGATTATGCTGTTGATGTGAGCCATGACCAGTCTTTCAAAGCACTTCATGGCTACAGACGTCAGTGCTACGGGTCGGTAGTCATTTAGGCAGGTTATCTTAGAGTTCTTGGGCACGGGGACTATGGTGGTCTGCTTGAAACATGTTGGTATTACAGACTCAGTCAGGGACATGTTGAAAATGTCAGTGAAGACACTTGCCAGTTGGTCAGCACATGCTCGGAGTACACGTCCTGGTAATCCGTCTGGCCCTGCGGCCTTGTGAATGTTGACCTGCTTAAAAGTCTTACTCACATCGGCTACGGAGAGCGTGATCACATAGTCGTCCGGAACAGCTGGTGCTCTCATGCATGCTTCAGTGTTGCTTGCCTCGAAGCGAGCATAGAAGTGGTTTAGCTCGTCTGGTAGGCTTGTGTCACTGGGCAGCTCGCGGCTGTGCTTCCCTTTGTAGTCTGTAATAGTTTTCAAGCCCTGCCACATCCGACGAGCGTCAGAGCCAGTGTAGTATGATTCAATCTTAGACCTGTATTGACTCTTTGCCTGTTTGATGGTTCGTCGGAGGTCATAGCGGGATTTCTTATAAGCGTCCGGGTTAGAGTCCCGTTCCTTGAAAGCGGCAGCTCTACCCTTTAGCTCAGTGCGGATGTTTCCTGTAATCCATGGCTTCTGGTTGGGGTATGTACGTACGGTCACTGTGGGGACGACATCATCGATGCACTTATTGATGAAGCCAGTGACTGATGTGGTGTACTCCTCAATGCTGTCTGAAGAATCCCGGAACATGTTCCAGTCTGTGCTAGCAAAACAGTCCTGTAGCTTAGCATCTGCGTCATCTGACCACTTTTTTATTAACCGAATCACTGGTGCTTCCTGCTTCAGTTTTTGCTTATAAGCAGGAATCAGGAGGATAGAGTTATGGTCAGATTTGCCAAATGGAGGGCGAGGGAGAGCTTTGTATGCGTCTCTGTGTGTGGAGTAAAGGTGGTCTAGAGTTTTTTTCCCTCTGGTTGCACATTTAACATGCTGGTAGAAATGAGGTAGAACGGATTTAAGTTTCCCTGCATTAAAGTCCCCGGCTACTAGGAGCGCTGCATCTGGATGAGCGTTTTCCTGTTGATTAATGGCCTTGTACAACTCATTCAGTGCAATCTTAATGCCAGCATTGGTTTGTGGTGGTAAATAGACAGCTATGAAAAATATAGATGAAAACTCTCTTGGTAAATAGTGTGGTCTACAGCTTATCATAAGATACTCTACCTCAGGCGAGCAAAACCTCGAGACTTCCTTGGTATTTGATTTTGTGCACCAGCTGTTGTTTACAAATATACAGAGACCGCCACCCCTTGTCTTACCAGAGTCTGCAGTTCTGTCCTGTCGATGTAGCGTATAGCCCGCTAGCTGAATGTTATCATTGTTGTCGTTCAGCCACGACTCCGTGAAACATAAGATATTACAGTTTTTAATGTCCCGTTGGTAGGATAACCGTAATCTTAAATCGTCAATTTTATTCTCAAAAGATTGAACGTTGGCTAATAGGATTGATGGGAGAGGCAGTTTACTCGCTCGCCGTCGGATCCTTACGAGGCACCCGGATCTGCGTCCGCGATATCTCCGTCTCTTCCTCACGCGAATGACGGGGATCGGCCTTGTCGGGTGTCTGTATGATATCCTTCGCGAACGCCTCGTTGAAGAAAAAATATTCGTCCAAAGCGAGGTGAGTAATCGCTGTCCTGATATCCAGAAGCTCTCTTTGGTTATAAGAGACGATGGCAGAAACATTATGTACAAAATAAATTACAAATAACGCGGAAAAACACACATAATAGTACAATTGGTTAGAGGGCTGTAAAACGGCAGCCATCTTCTTCCGGCGCTGTTCTTATTAGCCTACCTCCTTTCTCTACAGTTGCTTCATTCCTTCCTCACTTTCAACTGTTAAATGACATTTGTTTCGTTGTCCTTATCTTCATCATTCTGACATCCTTGAATAATATAGGACTAGAATTAGATGCAGGAGGCTTTCACTTCTCTTTACGAAGATTGAATGGTTATGGGTCTGAATAAATAACTGCTATAGACTACCGCCATCGCGCATTCACTCTTCTTTCAAACTACCCGTGAGTTCTATTGGCTGCTGTATTTAACATTCAGCAAACGAGGTTGTGTCCCTCTTCGAATAGTCTGTTGGGTAGAAGAAACCACCCAAAAAAGAATGTCCAACAAGCTATTCTAGTCTAGCGTTTCCTGTATGGGACTCCAAGAGCTATGGGATGTTTTTTAAGGAGAGGGGCCAGCGGAGCACATATGCATACGCAAGAGACTGAGGTTATAGGCCAAATTATGCGCTTATTTTGCATAACCCATAATTAATTGTTCAAATATAAGGCTAATACTGCATTTAATTTATTACCTGAAAGGGGTAGGGTAAGTCATTATTTATGTGTGTATATATAGATATATATATATATATACACACACACAAACACTACAAGTCAAAAGTTTGGACACACCTACTCATTCAAGGGTTTTTCTTTATTTGTACTATTTCGTACATTGTAGAATAATAGTGAAGACATCAAAACTATGAAATAATACATATGGAATCATGTAGTAGCCAAAAAAGGTTCGATTCCCACAGGGGGCCAGTATGAATTTTTTAAAATAAAATGTATGCACTCACTAACTGTAAGTCGCTCTGGATAAGAGCGTCTGCTAAATGACTAAAATGTAAATGTAAATATATTTGAGATTCCAAGAGTGAATGCCAAGAGTGTGCAAAGCTGTCATCAAGGCAAAGGGTGGTATTTGAAGAATATATTTTGATTTGTTTAACACTTTTTTGGTTACTACATGATTCCATATGTGTTATCTAATAGTTTTGATGTCTTCACTATTATTCTACAATGTAGAAAATAGTAAAAAATAAAGCAAAACCCTTGAATGAATAGGTGTGTCAACTTCTGACTGGTAGTGTGTGTGTGTATATACACTACCTTTCAAAAGTTTGGGGTCACTTAGAAATGTCCTTGTTTTTGAAGAATCTAGTTTTTTGTCGATTTTAAAATAACATCAAATTGATCAGAAATACAGTGTAGACATTGTTAATGTTGTAAATGGCTATTGTAGCTGGAAACGGCTGATTTAATGTAATATCTACATAGGTGTACAGAGGCCCATTATCAGCAACTATCAGTCCTGTGTTCCAATGGCACGTGTTTGCTAATCCAAGTTTAACTTTTTAAAAGGCTAATTGATCATTAGAAAACCCTTTTGCAATTATGTTAGCACAGCTGAAAACGTTGTGCTGATTAAAGAAGCAATAAAACTGGCCTTCCTGAGACTAGTTGAGTATCTGGAGCATCAGCAATTGTGGGTTCGATTACAGGCTCAAAATGGCCAGAAACAAATAACTTTCTTCTGAAACTCGTCAGTCTATTCTTATTCTGAGAAATGAAGGCTATTCCATGCGAGAAATTGCCAAGAAACTGAAGATCTCGTACAACGCTGTGTACTACTCCCTTCACAGAACAGCGCAAACTGTCTCTAACAAGAATAGAAAGAGTGGGAGGCCCCGGTGCACAACTGAGCAAGAGGACAAATACATTAGTGTCTAGTTTGAGAAACAGACGCCTCACAGGTCTTCAACTGGCAGTTTCATTAAATAGTACCCGCAAAACACCAGTCTCAACGTCAACAGTGAAGAGGCGACTCCTGGATGATGACCTTCTAGGCAGAGTTGCAAAGAAAAAGCCATATCTCAGACTGACCAATAAAAAGAAAAGATTAAGATGGGCAGTCTGAGATATGTCTTTTTCTCTTCCGTGCACTGATTTTAAAGAAACAATATTCGTGTGATGGGCTGTTTTTAAAACTCTGCAGCGGCAATAAATAAATAAAGATATCTTGCAATTAAAAAAAAAAAAAAAAAGCTGCCCCCCGAAAGCCAGACGGAGATGGGTAAATTAGACGCGCGTTCTGTCTTCTATTACTGTAGCATAGACAATGCTGCAGCAAATGCAAGCCTACCTGTCACAAAGTGTTCCCACGATCGGTCTACATGCATTGTGTACTGCACTCCATACTGAGATGAGCTGTCTGTCCCCACCCTGAGCGTTGATGATTCATCATGCAGAGGCTGTAGAGAAGCCAGATTTAGACATTGCATGTAGTTTCAGTTCCAGTTCATATAAATAATTTATTGTAATCTCAGTTATTTATCCTGGGGAAGGGGAGTGGTTTTGGGCTGTAAATCTCAGTAACCGGGTTCCCGACCTTCAACCCTAGTACACATAGACAGGACCGTTACGAACGCAAAGCATCACAACTATGGCAGCAGCGTAGCTATACATTGTGATGGTATATGTGAATGCTCCCATACAGCCGGTACACCTTAGCTAGTGTAAAGCACCGGCAGCAATTTTTCAACTGACCTTTACATGGCGATTTACTACAGAGGTGTAAGTAAACCAGTCCGGCACAGAGTACCGGCAAAATAAATAGTGGGGATATGTCGTACTGGTAAAACGTCTATCACAATAATTAAAACATCATTACCGCATGAAACATTTACGAATGGACTTAATCATGTGGAAATACGCTCCCAAATACGGTGTGGTTCGACAATAACGGTAACATTTTGCCATGGCAGATACTTTTGTATGTATAGTGTTGGTGGACACCCCTTCCAATTTGTGGATTCTGATTTTTCAGCCACACCCGTTGCTGACAGGCGTATAAAATCGAGCGCACAGCCATGCAATCTCCATAACCAAACATTGGCGGTAGAATGGCCCGTACTGAACAGCTCAGTGACTTTCAACGTGGCACCGTCATAGGATGCCACATTTCCAAGAAGTCAGTTTGTCAAATTTCTGCCCTGCTAGAGCTGCCCCGGTCAACTGTAAGTGCTGTTATAGTGAAGTGGAAGCGTCTAGGAGCAACAACGGCTCAGCCGCGAAGTGGTAGGCCACACAAGCTCACAGAACAGGACCACCGAGTGCTGAACCGCGTAGCACGTAAAAATCGTCTGTCCTCGGTTGCAACACTCACTACCGAGTTCCAAACTACCTCTGGAAGCAACTTCAGCACAAAAACAGTTTGTCGGGACCTTCACCATCTGGCAGTCCAACAGACAAATCTGGGTTTGGCGGATGCCAGGAGAACGCTACCTGCCCGAATGCATAGTGCCAACTGTGAAGTTTGTTGGAGGCGGAATAATGGTCTGGGGCTGTTTTCCATGGTTTGGGCTAGGCCCCTTAGTTCCAGTGAAGGGAAATCTGCACCAACTGCAAAGCCAGGCCCAATCGCCCAACATCAGTGCCCAACCTCACGAATGCTCTTGTGGCTCAATGGAAGCAAGTCCCCCCCCCCAGCAATGTTCCAACATCTAGTGGAAAGCCTTCCCATAAGTGTGAAGGCTGCAGCAATGGGGGAACCAACTCCATATTAATGTCCATGATTTTGGAATGAGATGTTCGATGAGCAGTTGTCCACATACTTTTGGTCATGTAGTGTATGTTTGGCTGAGATGTGCGCGGACAGCTGTGAATGCATCAATTCAGTTAGGCCTATTTGACAATCACCGAAAGTCATTCATTACACTTTTGGTGTTTTGTAACAATGTCTCTATCAATTCATCAAATTGCAGGTGCACAGTGCACTCTATGGATGCAGGAATTATTTTAGTGGATGAATGGTCCTTTGTTTTTACACTGCTGCTACTCGCTGTTTATTTACCATGCATAGTCACTTTACCCCTACCTACATATGCAAATGACCTCGACTAACGGGTACCCCCGCACATTGGTACCGGTACCTAATGTTTATAGCCTCGTTATTTTATTGTGTTTTTATTTTATTTAGTAAATATTTTCGTAACTTTCTTGAACTGCATTGTTAAGGGCTTGTAAGTAAGCATTTCACGGTAAGGTCTACACCTGTTGTATTCGGCACATGTGACAAATACAATTGTATTTGATGTGCACAGGTAGCCAGGCTTACAGAATCCTTGAAGTGATTTTGACAAAAACATAATGAGTGTTTGTGTTTATGCTAGGGCTGTCCCCGACAAAAAATTACATAATTGGTCGACCAAGAGTCGTCTGTCTTTCGACCCACCGATTGTAAGATTTTTTTTAATTTTTTTTTTATACCCGTGTATTTTTCCAGATATTGACACATCCTATGTGTTTTTAATCAAATCAACTATATTCACTGAGCTTGTCTGACGCTTTAAGCACACGGTTTGATTAAATAATGACGACGCACAAATGACTAGAGGGAGTCCGACCAGCAATTTATTTGATTGTGCCGGGCTCAGACCTGCTGCGCTTTGTTTAAAAAAAAGACCGCATGTGACTGACTAGTACATTTTTTACATCTTTAGTCATTTAGCAGACGCTCTTATCCAGAGCGACTTACATGAGCAATTAGGGTTAAGTGCCTTGCTCAAGGGCACATCGACAGATTTTTCACCTAGTTGGCTCGGGGATTAGAACCAGCGACCTTTCGGTTACTGGCACAACGCTCTTAACCACTAAGCTACCTGCCGCCCCGTTGTCTCTCTCCTCCCTGCTGCAGTGACCACAGAACATCAGTGTCCGTGTTGCGGAAGCTGCAACATAATTACAGCGGTTTATGACTGAAAAGTTCTGTTTCCCGAAATCGCTAATTTGTTTAGGAAAAGCATTCCCTATTTCCTCAACCCATGCTGTCTTTACGTGACACATGGATGCATCGCACCATGGCCAGCAAAACTACCCCTTGGTACTCAGTTTTTTATTAGAAATTTGACAGTTATGACGGAAGCCTGGAGGTGTGAAGATAAAGTATTTCAACATTTCCAGGTGATAGGGCCACACTCAACTCCAGCTTGGTTCCCAAGTTTCTAAACCAAACCATCTTTCCTATAGTGTCGCCATAATACATATAAACAAAAGCATTCATAGGATAAATGTAGGTCATTCATATATAGCTTATGCGCAGCACTTATTTCAATTTATCGAATCAGTTATTGTTTTCATGCCCAAACCACGAGCAACACCTGTGAAACTCAGATATTTCTCTCAAAACACAGGAATGTCGATTCACACGGGACTAGTATTACCAGAGGACCTTGGAGTTCGCCACAAAAAACAGGTTATTCTGGCTGGAATTGTTACACTCCTGCCATATAAAAAATTACTGCCATGGCACATTCGGACAGAACTAAAATTACTGATGTGGTGTTTTGTGCTCGTGCAAATAATTACAATTACCTGACCTCCCCCGGTAAAACTTATCCCGTCCCAATGGGGCACAATAGGGGCCTGACCTATGGCATCATCACATCAATAAATTGGTTATAACAAACTGTGAACACCGTAACACGTGACAGCAAAATGGATGCAGAGGACGTGACAAATATAAACTCTAAAACGGGGGAATGTTTACCGGTTGCTCAGGAGGTAAAGGGAAAGTCGGCTGTGTGGAATACATGTGACTAGTTGTGGAAAATAATGGAGATCAAGAAAAACAAGGTAAGGAGCAAGCTCTGCTTGCATATTATGCCAAACAGGTGCTGTATTTATAATATAATTTATATAACAATATGATTTTTCTGACCGTTTGGAACAATGTAAAGCGTACCAGAGTAAACAATATTTTTTTTTGTTACGCCTTTTATTGCAGCAAAGACTAAAAACAGTCACATTCATTCGTGAATGCAATTTCCCGAAATGGAACGGTTTATTTATTGTATAAGCTAATTATTCAAGGCGCGCTTTATTTTTTAAACTAATATGCTTGATTGCATTTCAAATCATGAATGACTCGTATGCTCTGTGATGACATGAATGAATGATTGATACAGTATCCTATAGATGTATTGAAATATAGGCCTAAGTAAGTTATGGTATTAAGACTAAACAGGATGTGCTCTTAGGCCTACAGCTCGATGGTGGTTATACAAGGCTGCTATACTAAGACTACTAATGATGATGACATCACTTATTATAATAACAAGAAGGAGATCAAGAAAAAGGAGCATTATTATAATAAATGCAAATTCAGACAATTTGGAACAGTGTAAACAACACTAAATAAATAATACCAGGTATGCTGTTCTAACGGGAAAAAAAATGTAAAGTGTAAAGCCTTTACTACAGTAAAGCAAAAAAACGGAATTTGTGAAATTGTTTACTTGACATGTCGTTGCGTGAGGCTTAGTGCTCACGGAATTAGTAGGCATTAAACAAACACAGAAGCAGGATCTGTCTTATTTATATATATATATATGATTTATAAATTGTGTTCCTTTTTTTTTTTTTTTTTTTTATAAAGCCAGGCCCATTTAACAGTTAGGCTATTGATTATAGACCTAATTAAGTTGGTTTCCTCTCTCCTCACTTTTCTTAGACTATAAGTCAAGGGCTGTTTTCTCATCTCATTCTACTGCTGCCTCCGCCACATTGTTCTCAACACCAATATGCTGGTTAACTTTTCTATTATGCACATAGCAACATGGTCTAGGAAAAGGCGCCAATTCAACAGCGCGCTGACGTGTTTCAGAACCGTGTACAGCGGCCGCTATCCAACGAGGGAGAAAGTGCATTTGTTATAAAATATTTGTATTAGTGTTGCACATAATTTTAGTAGCACGTGTCTTAGACTGATGGGCGGTGCCATCCCCACGGCCTCCACACTAGATCAGTCCACTCTGCGCGAATCGGACACCATGAGATTTTGTATTTTTTTGGGGGCTACTGTTCGACTACAGAAATCTCGGTCGACCAACAGCCAGTCGACTAAATGGGGTTTATGCCACCTTTTTAAAAGGTAATGTATTTTAAAAGTTAAAATGAATACGGGAGTCTATATGGAATTCTATGATTAAGCCCATAACAATTTTTCACAAAAAAATGCTCCCGTACTGGGAAGAAATACAAAATAACTTTCAAATTTCACCCCTGCTTAATTCTCAACTTGGAACTTATCAGTCTTCTCAACTCCCATCGCTAGTTGCAGGTGGAATGTTGGAATTGAGAAAAGGTGTCTTGAGTGTGAGCGATTCAAAATGTTACTTTGTGATTTATGAAAGGGGTCATATACATTTGAGTCTGGCTGTAGTTTTTAGTCAAATCATTTGATCCCAAATCTCTGGCCTAACATGCTTTGTCTCCTCTTGTGCAAAGGTATGGGTTTGTTGAATTTGATGACCCCCGCGATGCAGATGATGCTGTGTATGACCTGAATGGGAAAGACCTGTGTGGGGAGAGGGTTATTGTGGAGCACACAAAGGGGCCGCGGCGGGACGGCAGCTACGGCTCAGGAGGAGGAGGAGGAGGAGGGGAGGAGGAGGAGGCGGCGGCGGAGGAGGAGGTGGTGGTGGTGGAGGTGGAAGAAGTAAGTTTACAATGCAGTGGTGCTTTAACATTAGTTGAAATGTAATTGAGGAGGCCAACATGGCAGTGTATAGTATGTAGGAGAAGAGACTACTGCATAACGTCTCAAGTTTGTCCTTGGTGGTTGTAGTTCATATAATTGTGTTCCTTTACATTTAGGTAATTTCGCAGACGCTCTTATCCAGAGTGACTTAGTCAGTGCGTTCAACTTCAGGTATTGGGTAAGGTAGCCACATATCTTAGTTAGTAAAACACATACTTTGTGTTTCAGCTATTTGTTAATGCTGCCTGTGATGACGTGTCCACCAGATGTCCGTTTTTTTTTAAACCTTTATTTACCAAGTGGTTTTATGTTTAATCTGATGGACTCTGTTCAAACGCTTGTTGCTTCCTTGGGGATAGTAGTGATGGTAACTTGTAGTCAGTGAAAATTGTACCACCAATACCATATTGGTATCCATGGTCACAGCTGGCACTGTCATACACTCCATTCATCATCTGGGTTGTGCTCTGCTCACGCCATGGTCCCACCGCACTGATTCCATCCCTTTTATGATTGATTAATTGCACCTCAAGTTGTTTTTCTGTGACTTTTTTTATGAGGACACATTTAACTCATTTGCTGTAGTTTCAGCTAGTTTCTGGGACAAGGGGTTGCCAGTGTTCTGTTCTAAATCCGGCCTATTAGGTCACTCCTAAGTCTAATTAGCATACGTGTGTCGCATTCTAGCAGATACCCATAGACTTCCAGGCGTTGCGTTAATGCTAGTTAGCATTGGCTCGCAAAAAAAAAAAATACCTCCAACTTCTGTCATGCTGGACACAGACATGAAAATGGTATCCATGAGTTAACCTGACTCTGGGGAATTAGATAAAGGGGTGTCATTGCCAAAATCACAAAGTATCCCTTTTTAAGACACCGTTTTTGTATTGTCTTGCAGATGTAGTCACATCACGGACAAGCTAGTACTACAAAATAAAGCCTTTTATGGTACTTAACAGTAATTGTTTGAGTAATGGGTGTAGAGAACACATTTTATATTTGAGTTGAATGAGGGAATTAAAATTACATGCACCACAGCCACCAAATGACATGCCATTATCTTGGGAACCTGTATGCTTGATTTGAAACTGTTACAGGGAAACAAATGCACTTGTATTCGTTCAAATTGTCAGGGGAAAACTAGCTTGAGATTCACTACCGTTGAATATTTGCTGATTAAATGATCTAATGTGATTTGAATAGAATAACTAGCTAATTTGTTTGAATAATTTGAGAATCGTGTAATCTACTGTTTTTATTCAGGATTCTTTTTATTTTGTTTAATTAAATGAATGTTGAATAATAAAGGTAAAGATTTAACAAAGAACCTCAATGTTTTAATTGAAAGAGTCCTTTGCTGACTGCCTGCCCCTATTGCTGGCCTGGCCATGGTGTCCCCTTTCCAACCAAGAGTGTGGTTTGACCATTCTGGGCCCCTGGGCAGACCAAAAAAGGGAGCCATTGTGAATGAAGACCGCTTGTCCCATTAGCCCCAGGCCGGGTGGTGAGGATGCCATTGGGTTAGGAACAGATGTGGGTTGAGCTCTTATCGGTGCCTGAAACAAATGTGAAATGTCTCTAGATTTAGATGTGCTAGTTAAAAAACGTAAACTTTAGTGTCACCGTAAGTACTGTCTTCAGTGAGTTTTTTCTTTATCTAGCTTTTCATTTTGATTTAAGTTTGTATGTAGAGTTTTGTATTCAGTTCTACCCAAACTTGAATCAGTTAATGATTTTAGTTGTTAAGATGCTGTTGAAGATTAAGGATAGGCTATGTCAGTGTTCCTGATGGAAATGTGCAATTTTCTAGGTAATATAGTCTAAACACAGGTTTGATTACCTTTTTTTGGTTAGCCCATTATCTATTTAATTTCTCCCAGATTTTACAAGTGGCCATTGTTTACGTAATGTAGCTTGGAGTTTAGTATTGAGGCTGTCCTCTAGGTGTGTCCCTGCCCTAATTGCTGCTGCTCTGTCCTTGTTACCTTGAAGGCGGGGGCGGGTATGGGCGTGGCGGCAGAGACCGATATGGCCCACCAGCAAGGACAGACTATCGGCTGATTGTTGAGAACCTGTCCAGCCGCTGCAGCTGGCAGGACCTGAAGGTATGGTGGCGACGGGTTATTCAGCAATGATAACGCTCTCTTCCTTATGATTTCGGCATCCCATGTTAATGTTTGGAGAGAAACAGTTTTAGCATTTTTGCATGTACAGTGAGGGAAAAAAGTATTTGATCCCCTGCTGATTTTGTACGTTTGCCCACTGACAAATAAATGATCAGTCTATAATTTTAATGGTAGGTTTATTTGAACAGTGAGAGACAGAATAACAACAACAAAAATCCTGAAAAACGCATGTCAAAAATGTTATAAATTGATTTGTTTTTTAATGAGGGAAATAAGTATTTGACCCCCTCTCAATCAGAAAGATTTCTGGCTCCCAGGTGTCTTTTTATACAAGTAACGAGCTGAGATTAGGAGCACACTCTTAAAGGGAGGCTAAGAGTTAACAATGTCTACACTGTATTTCTGATCAATTTGATGATATTTTAATGTACAAGAAAATTGCTTTTCTTTCAAAAACAAGGACATTTCTAAGTGACCCCAAACTTTTGAACGGTAGTGTATATAACATGAAACGTGTATATAACATGAAACGTGTATATAACGTATACCATATTAATTCAATTGTATCTTTGTGGTTTGCTCACCTAATGCCAACCTTTCCGTTCCTTCACCAGGACTACATGAGGCAGGCGGGTGAGGTGACGTATGCTGACACCAATAAGGGGCGCCGGAACGAAGGGGTGATAGAGTTCAGGCTGTACTCTGACATGAAGAGAGCCCTGGAGAAGCTGGACGGCACCGAGGTGAACGGCAGGAAGATCCGGCTGATTGAGGACCGCCCGGGGGCCAAGCGCAGCAAGCGCTCCTACTCTCGCAGTCGCAGCCGCTCTAGGTAAATAATAATATGCCATTTAGCAGACGCTTTTATCCAAAGCGACTTACAGTCATGCACGCATACATTTTTTGTGTATGGGTGGTCCCGGGGATCGAACCCACTACCGTGGCGTTACAAGCGCCGTGCTCTACAGCTCTGAGCTACAGAGGACCAAGAATGCTGATTTAGCTAGAAGTCTCCGTTTTTTTATGACGCAAGATTTGTTGATTAGTCTGTGATCAGTGACTGAAGCTAAGGCTGCATTTACAATTTTGATCTTTCTTTGCCACTAATTGGTCATTTGACCAATCAGATCTGTTGCCCATAATTGGGCGAAATATCAGCGTTGATTGGCTGTGTAAACACAGCCTAATTGATCGTGTCCAACATGGAGTAGGTCTTCTAGAAGAGGATGTGATTTCAGCTGTATATGAGACTGACTGATCTCTAAATGATTAGTGGTTATTTATGATGCAAAATGACCTTTCGATCAGTCAATCAGAATTGATGCTCTCAAAACACGGCCTGTATCTTCAAGGGGACGTAGTGATTTTAGTTTTCTAGGGCTGTTGTTATGGTGACTCTATTACCGCCACCCCGGCAGTCATGACCGCATTAAAATTCCACGTGACCGTTGAGTCACGGTGATCTCCTGTTATGCACTCTGGACATGCTTTGGTACTACCCAACTCGCTAACGACCATCAGGTCCTAATGGCCTGGTACTCAGGGCTCTATTGTCCCTCTAACCATCAGGTCCTAATGGCCTGGTACTCAGGGCTCTATTGTCCCTCTAACCATCAGGTCCTAATGGCCTGGTACTCAGGGCTCTATTGTCCCTCTAACCATCAGGTCCTAATGGCCTGGTACTCAGCGCTCTATTGTCCCTCTAACCATCAGGTCCTAATGGCCTGGTACTCGGGGCTCTATTGGCCCTCTAACCATCAGGTCCTAATGGCCTGGGACTCAGGGCTCTATTGTCCCTCTAACCACTCTGACATCAATGGAAATGCCATCGAAAATCACATCGAACACTTATCATCAAAACAGTATCCTGCTTTTAAAACTCACCTCACTGTGATGATCAATTTGAAGAAAGTTCACCAGCAGGTTGAAACGGTGTAAAACATGGTTGTTGTGGATGTTGTTTCAAAGCCTAACACATCGAAATGGACAGGTTTTCTAGGGTGATGATTCATTCAAAACACCTGTGCACATATTAGATCATATGCATAGGCTTATTAGCCCAAGCCTCTGAAAAAATAAAAACTGAATTAAAATGGATTTAGCCGTTATACAGTACATAGCCTACCACATATTACACATGGCAGAAAAACATAAAATATAACTGATTTTAAATTGTCTTTGGTACATAATTGGTCTAACCTATACTCCAAAATTAAACAAATTAGAGTAATTGCCTTTGAGTGTGGACTGTATTGCATACTGGATGGACTGGTTATCATGCTGCTACTCCCACATTTCTATATATTAGTCTGGGAGAGAACGTATAGCCCTAGTCATTGGAAGAAAAAAAAATATATATATATATTTTACCTTTTATTTAACTAGGCAAGTCAGTTTAGAACAAATTCTTATTTACAATGACGGCCTACACCGGCCAAACCCGGACGACGCTGGGCCAATTGTGCACCGCCCTATGGGACTCCCAATCACGGCCGGTTGTGATACAGCCTGGAATCGAACCAGGGGGTCTGTAGTGACGCCTCAAGCACTGAGATGCGGTGCCTTAGACCGCTGCGCCACTCGGGAGCCCAATGCTGTTGGTTCATTGATTGTGCAGGGCGGCTTACAGTTAGCCTACAATTATAGTGAATTTGATTTTGAATAGCCTAGTAATAGGGCATTTTTTAAAAAATATTTTCATAGTTAATTGACACATTACCTTTTTAGCTACATAATATCTCACCACCATGCGTTTCCATCTCCCCTCGCTCCTTTATTCCTTTCTCCAGCGCACAGACGGGCTGTCAACCAGTTTAGTGAAAACATGTTACTATCGATGTTCCCGAACATACTTGACTTGGTTTCCCCAAATGAAGCACTGGGTAGCTGCAGGAACGAGGTTGGAGAGCCCCATGGCACACACAGAGTCTGGGTGGAACGTCACCTGTCGGGGCAGCGAGAGCACGCTCCTCAATGGTTGACCCCGTCGGGGCAGCGAGAGCACGCTCCTCAATGGTTGACCCTGTCGGGGCAGCGAGGGCACGCTCCTCAATGGTTGACCCTGTCGGGGCAGCGAGAGCACGCTCCTCAATGGTTGACCCTGTCGGGGCAGCGAGAGCACGCTCCTCAATGGTTGACCCTGTCGGGGCAGCGAGAGCACGCTCCTCAATGGTTGACCCGTCGGGGCAGCGAGAGCACGCTCCTCAATGGTTGACCCGTCGGGGCAGCGAGAGCACGCTCCTCAATGGTTGACCCGTCGGGGGCAGCGAGAGCACGCTCCTCAATGGTTGACCCGTCGGGGCAGCGAGAGCACGCTCCTCAATGGTTGACCCCGTCGGGGCAGCGAGAGCACGCTCCTCAATGGTTGACCCCGTGGGGCAGCGAGAGCACGCTCCTCAATGGTTGACCCGTCGGGGCAGCGAGAGCACGCTCCTCAATGGTTGACCCCGTCGGGGCAGCGAGAGCACGCTCCTCAATGGTTGACCCCGTCGGGGCAGCGAGAGCACGCTCCTCAATGGTTGACCCCGTGGAGGGCAGCGAGAGCACGCTCCTCAATGGTTGACCCGTCGGGGCAGCGAGAGCACGCTCCTCAATGGTTGACCCGTCGGGGCAGCGAGAGCACGCTCCTCAATGGTTGACCCTGTCGGGGCAGCGAGAGCACGCTCCTCAATGGTTTGACCCCGTGGAGGGCAGCGAGAGCACGCTCCTCAATGGTTGACCCCGTCGGGGGCAGCGAGAGCACGCTCCTCATGGTTGACCCTGTCGGGGCAGCGAGAGCACGCTCCTCAATGGTTGACCCGTGGAGGGCAGCGAGAGCACGCTCCTCAATGGTTGACCCCGTCGGGGCAGCGAGAGCACGCTCCTCATGGTTGACCCTGTCGGGGCAGCGAGAGCACGCTCCTCAATGGTTGACCCCGTCGGGGCAGCGAGAGCACGCTCCTCAATGGTTGACCCCGTCGGGGCAGCGAGAGCACGCTCCTCAATGGTTGACCCTGTCGGGCAGCGAGAGCACGCTCCTCAATGGTTGACCCCGTCGGGGCAGCGAGAGCACGCTCCTCAATGGTTGACCCCGTCGGGGCAGCGAGAGCACGCTCCTCAATGGTTGACCCCGTCGGGGCAGCGAGAGCACGCTCCTCAATGGTTGACCCCGTCGGGGCAGCGAGAGCACGCTCCTCAATGGTTGACCCGTCGGGGCAGCGAGAGCACGCTCCTCAATGGTTGACCCTGTCGGGGCAGCGAGAGCACGCTCCTCAATGGTTGACCCTGTCGGGGGCAGCGAGAGCACGCTCCTCAATGGTTGACCCTGTCGGGGCAGCGAGAGCACGCTCCTCAATGGTTGACCCTGTCGGGGCAGCGAGAGCACGCTCCTCAATGGTTGACCCTGTCGGGGCAGCGAGAGCACGCTCCTCAATGGTTGACCCTGTCGGGGCAGCGAGAGCACGCTCCTCAATGGTTGACCCCGTCGGGGCAGCGAGAGCACGCTCCTCAATGGTTGACCCTGTCGGGGCAGCGAGAGCACGCTCCTCAATGGTTGACCCTGTCGGGGGCAGCGAGAGCACGCTCCTCAATGGTTGACCCGTGGAGTGAAATAAGTGTTATAGTTCTTTCTCAGCTGCTCATATTAAGCACATGCTCCTCTATAAAACCAAAGTAGCTTACAAAAACGGCGGGAAAGCGGCCTCCATTCGCTATTTGAGTGCCTACAGATGACATGTCTTTTCTCCCGTGCCCCTGTTCCTGCCCATTTTGATAACGGGCCATCCTAAAGCTAAACAAATTTTACGTATTAGTAAAGACGAGATTAAATTGAGAATAGTCTGATGGGTGAAAATACGATGACTTGATGAGAGAACAGCGTGTGCAGCCGGAGGCAATGAACAGAGCTCAAGCTTTTTTTTCTCCCTTCTACTTTCTCGAATCATCAATAGCCTATAGTCGCACCATGCAGCCCATATGTTTTGATTTCTGAGTCATTCTATGGTTTATCATTCACAAGTAAAGTTGCCAAATAACTCTAAGTCTAGCGTATAGGACCTGTTTTCAAATGATCAAGTTTACGCTCAACATAGCTCTGTAATGGGAAAAATATCCTTTCTATTGTATTCAGCTAAGTTGAGTTATATTCTTCTTTTTAGTATTAAAATCCTATAGAATAATGGCACAGGACTTATAAGCATATCTTGTCGGCTAAATGAACAGGCCTATGGCATGGCGCATAGCCAGGTAACATACAGTAGGCCAACTCCTATTCTGTTCTTCAGAAATGCATTTTCTTCATATCATGTTTTTTAAGACCTGACTAAAATAATGCATTTATTCTAATGGTGTATATTAACTTATTTGATTTTTTTTTTTTTTTATGTAAATGTTCCAACGGCGCCCATCAGCGGCTTGTATTCCTGGCGACGCTAAACGTGTTTGTTAATTAACGGTAAATGACCGTTGGACCGGCAGCTTTTGCGTGACAATAACCGACTGACAGAAAGTAATGACCGCCACAGTGCTAGTTGTGTCCCTCAATGCATTGCTTTGCCACAAGTTCAATAACGTGTTTATGAGACTGATTGATCTATAAATCGTAACGAGTAGTTATTTGATGGAAGGTCTTTAATCATCGACTGAGCAAAATGTATGCGTTTAAAACACGGCCTATATATTGAAAGGACTCTTTAGTTATTTCAGTTGCCCCCCCTCAATGCATTGCTTTCTCACCAGTTCACAGTTAAGATTCACTCTTCGATTGGTCTGCACGTCACTCTAAGCTTCTTTCATGTACATGGCTTACCTTTTTTAACGTACGTTCTCCTTCCTCTGTCTCCAGGTCCCGTTCCAGGAGCCGTGGGTCCCGTAAGAGCCGCAGCGACAGCAGCAGTCGTAGCCGCTCCAGGTGAGGCCAGGCAACGTTTGACTCATAGACCCATATATCAAGGGTGACCCCTGACCTCTTTTTTTAATGTGTCCCAAATGGCACCCTATTCCCTATGTAGCGTACTACTTTTTGACCAGGGCTTTGGTCAAAATTAGTGCACTATATAGGGAATAGGGTGCCATTCATATCTCTACTTCTGCCCTTATCTACTGCGACTATACTTAGTCGTTTTTCTGAGGGACATCTGTATCACCCGTTTCTCAAGTCACTGTGTGTAGTAAATATCCACTTACCCAGAGCTCTTGACTCAGTATGAACTTTGCCCCCCTTTTTTTTGTTTCTACCCAGATGTCCTAACAGATGTCATGACCAGTTAGTGCTAGGGGTGGTGGCTATTTTTACATTGCTGCAGTTCAATTACATTTTAGTTGACTGGTTGTCTGTCTGCTCCTTCCTGTTCCCCAGGGGTGCTGCCTCACGCTCACGTAGTCGCTCCCACAGCAAGAAGGACAAGACCAAGGGCCGCAGAGAGGAGGAGCGCACCAACGGTGCCCACAAGGCCAAGGAGGGGCGCGGGGGCCGAGACGAGGGGCGCAGCAGGAGCCGCAGCAGGAGCCGCAGCAAGAACAAAAAAAGCATCAAGAAAGAAGGGAAGAGGGACAGGAAGGATGAGTCCAGGTCCCGCTCCCGCTCTCGCTCCAGATCGGCAGCCAAGGATCGCTCCAGGAAGTCTGGCTCCAAGAGCCGCGAGCCGGCCAAGAGCGACGACGAGGGAGCTGCAGCTGAGAAGGCGGCCCCCCGTACCCGCTCTCGCTCCCATACTCCCACTGAATCTAAACCTAAGTCAAAGTCTAAGTCCAAGTCCAAATCTCCATCTCCCTCCCCGGCCAAAGCCCGCTCCCGTTCCCCCTCCGTCTCCCGCTCAGAGTCCCGCTCCAAATCTCGCTCCGCGTCTCGTTCTCGCTCCCGTTCTCGATCACAGTCCTGAGCTGGGGATACCAACATCACCCATAGTGTTTCCCCTCCCTGTTTCTTCTCGTCCACTGTCTCCACCCCTGCGTCTGTCCCTTTATTTTTATTTTTTTTTTTTGAGTAATAGTTTTATGAAAACTCCAGGCACTCATGCTCGAGGTGTCTTTCACACACTCTCCCCCATTTCTTTTAAATATACAGTGCTTGTCGGTCATTCTGCATATTTTTCCAGTAGCGTTGTCTCTCTTAATTGAGGTGTTTGTAAAATATGAAAATGTAAGTTCGAGGGTATTTGCTTGGATAGATTTTTGTAAGTAGAAATGAAGTTTTAAAAGTGCTGTAGTAAGTGTGTTAACCTTTATGACGTACTTAAGCATACCGTGCTGTCAATGTTGTTGCAGGGTGGGGTTGTTTTTATTCTGTTGCATCTTTTCACTTTGTGGAAAATCCTTTTACCAGTTTTAAAAAATAAAATAAAAATCCTGATCTCGAAATGGAGTTGTCTTTTTGGTTTCTAAAATAATTTGGGTTGCACGAACATAGCATACTGATCAAATTGGTGCTGAGGTTAGTACTGTTGGAACCAACGTCTCTGCTCCAGGGTGGAGTGTGTGTTTAAGCGTGACACCCTGGACCAGAGCTAAACCCTACACAACTATAGGGGCAACAAGAATGTCAGCATATAGAGTAGCACAGTATGAGTCATAATACCCATAAAACCTAGCGGTCAAACGGGGGAAATGGTTCCAATTGTTTCTCCACAATTTATTTTTCCCATAGGGGATTGTAGAAACACTTAAGGGCTGTGTTTCGTGTGGGCTTACCCTGGCATGATGTTTTTATAACCGTGTAAATCTCTAGGACAATGTGGCTTTTCAATGTATTTGCCTGTATTTACCCCCACCAAAAACTGAAACGCTAATGTGGTTATCATACAGAACTACACTGCTCAAAAAAATAAAGGGAACACTAAAATAACACATCCTAGATCTGAATGAATGAAATAATCTTATTAAATACTTTTTTCTTTACATAGTTGAATGTGCTGACGACAAAATCACACAAATTATCAATGGAAATCAAATGTATCAACCCATGGAGGTCTGGATTTGGAGTCACCCTCAAAATTAAAGTGGAAAACCACACTACAGGCTGATCCAACTTTGATGTAATGTCCTTAAAACAAGTCAAAATTAGGCTCAGTAGTGTGTGTGGCCTCCACGTGCCTGTATGACCTCCCTACAACGCCTGGGCATGCTCCTGATGAGGTGGCGGATGGTCTCCTGAGGGATCTCCTCCCAGACCTGGACTAAAGCATCCGCCAACTCCTGGACAGTCTGTGGTGCAACGTGGCGTTGGTGGATGGAGCGAGACATGATGTCCCAGATGTGCTCAATTGGATTCAGGTCTGGGGAACGGGCGGGCCAGTCCATAGCATCAATGCCTTCCTCTTGCAGGAACTGCTGACACACTCCAGCCACATGAGGTCTAGCATTGTCTTGCATTAGGAGGAACCCAGGGCCAACCGCACCAGCATATGGTCTCACAAGGGGTCTGAGGATCTCATCTCGGTGCCTAATGGCAGTCAGGCTACCTCTGGCGAGCACATGGAGGGCTGTGCGGCCCCCCAAAGAAATGCCACCCCACACCATGACTGACCCACCGCCAAACCGGTCATGCTGGAGGATGTTGCAGACAGCAGAACGTTCTCCACGGCGTCTCCAGACTCTGTCACGTGCTCAGTGTGAACCTGCTTTCATCTGTGAAGAGCACAGGGCGCCAGTGGGGAATTTGCCAATCTTGGTGTTCTCTGGCAAATGCCAAACGTCCTGCACGGTGTTGGGCTGTAAGCACAACCCCCACCTGTGGATGTTGGGCCCTCATACCACCCTCACGGAGTCTGTTTCTGACCGTTTGAGCAGACACATGCACATTTGTGGCCTGCTGGAGGTCAATTTGCAGGGCTCTGGCAGTGTTCCTCCTGCTCCTCCTTGCACAAAGGCGGAGGTAGCAGTCCTGCTGCTGGGTTGTTGCCCTCCTACGGCGTCCTCCATGTCTCCTGATGTACTGGCCTGTCTCCTGGTAGCGCCTCCATGCTCTGGACACTACGCTGACAGACACAGCAAACCTTCTTGCCACAGCTCGCCTGGATGAGCTGCACTACCTGAGCCACTTGTGTGGGTTGTAGACTCCGTCTCATGCTACCACTAGAGTGAAAGCACCGCCAGCATTCAAAAGTGACCAAAACATCAGCCAGGAAGCATAGGAACTGAGAAGTGGTCTGTGGTCACCACCTGCAAAACCAGTCCTTTATTGGGGGTGTCTTGCTAATTGCCTATAATTTCCACCTGTTGTCTATTCCATTTGCACAACAGCATGTGACATTTATTGTCAATCAGTGTTGCTTCCTAAGTGGACAGTTTGATTTCACAGAAGTGTGATTGACTTGGAGTTACATTGTGTTGTTTAAGTGTTCCCTTTATTTTTTTGAGCAGTGTATAAATGCCATTATCTGGATGATACTGCCTAATCGAGGCAAAAGTAAGTATCTCTTAGCTATCTAATGTTAGCTAAATGTATTAATGAATAAATTGGCTACATTTCTTTAAATGGACAATTCTGTGGACTGTCTTGTGCAAGTTTTAAATTGACACAATACCTGTTCGCAAAGGTGTCAGCTAGAGATGACGCGCAGGGATTTGTAGTTTATCATGTCTACTTTCATGTTAAATAGCATTTTCAAATCTGAGTAGAGACCAATATATTGATAAGTCACCTTGTCTGAGAGATTTACATGGTTATCAAAACGTCACGCCAGGGTAAGCCTACCCGAAACAGCCCTTATTTTAACTGTTTCTAAAATCCTCTATGGGGAAAATGAATGGTGGAAAAACGATCGGAACCATTTCCCTGTTTGACCGCTAGGTTTTATGGGTATTATGACACCTCCACAGTGTGGCTCTGTTGTTGACCATAAAGGTTTGGGGTATGTGCCCCTGCTTAGCCACAAGATGGCAGTACTAATTTGACAGTCCTGTTTTCAGAAATGCCCTCACTGTCAATGTTAATTAGCGATGAGTAACCATGGGAATAAAATGTATTCCCTTCCAATGTTTTGGTTTTAATTATCACAATTAACTCGCAGCAATTGCAGCAATTAAAGCTCATTACAGTGAGTAGTAGGGCCATATTACATTGGCATGTTTATCTGATAGAGTTACCAGGCACCACAACTTGACCACCAATTAATTAGGCCTATATATTTAAAAGTCTACAGTGATTTTATCTAGGTGGAGGCCATCAATGGTGTTTCATGTCACTAAAAGCATGGGAATAGTTCTGAGATTGTTTATAAGTCTACGTTATAAATGAGTTTAGCCTTCCATATTAAAATATTTTTTTAGACCACTTCTAAGGGTTGGCTACGATTATGGTCGTCGGTCAGTCAGACAACAGTCAGTGCGCATATGGAATAATCCTGCAACAGTGGCCTGCTCCATTTCCATGAACGTGCAGTGCGCATAGTATCACTGCTCTTGAAGGAATGGAAGCGCCAAGGAAAGTAGCAGTGGGAAGGTTCGGACAGTGTTGTGAGGGGGGCGGCACATGTAGCGTCATTTTTGCCTAATGCTTTTGAAAATGCGTCTTTTCCCCCCAGTAACGAACCAGAAACGTATTGAATAAAGAGATCGAGCTCATAGGAGACGGCGAACAGCAGAACCACACGCATCCTTGATCCTTCGGTTTGGGATTAAAATTATAGGCAAATTAAATTGCTTCACCGACAAGATTTTAAGGCTACATGACAGAACAAACCAAACGATACTGTATCAATATGTGTCGGGGGACAATGAATAGAACCGAAGAATTCTGCATCAAAGGCAAGTAGGCTATAACTTTCCCCGGTATAAACATTCAAAAGTAGGCTATCAACCGGTTATAGAAAGATTGTTGTTACAGTGTTGCGGAATCTTTGTAGGAGAGCGCCAACTTCAGACAATTCACGTTGAAACATTGTAGCCTTTTCTGGTAGGACAGAAGAGAAAGATTCTATTTTGGCACCGCGCATCTACTGAAGTTCAGGACAATCAGTGAAGCTGTCTCCGTCTGGTTTCCACTCACCTATTAGCCTATTTCAACTGTAGGTTATTTGGGAGATTTGAGCTGTATTTAGAGGAAATGAAAATACGATGAGACTAGGCAATGTATAAACAGTATGTACCGAAGGAATGTAACAACACTCCATCGTTTTCCCCCGCCGTAGGCTGCTATGACGCGACCGATATAGAACCGTTATTTGCGAGGGGGTTTAGATATCTGTAAAATTTTCCCAATATGGGTCTTCAAGGTGGGATATTATACTCTATTTATTATACAGATAATTGATAAAGTAGTCGAATATGATATAGTTAATTTGGAGTGCGCATAATAGCGTTTTGCACGCAATAGTTGTATGCTAATCAGTGTAGATTTAAAAAAAAAATATATATATATATATATATATATATATAATAACAGAAAGATATTGAAAGCACGACGCATGGCTCTACTCCTACATAGTATGTGGACCTCTTTTGCATAGGCAATGATCTTGGCAATCGTCAAAATAAATATTTGCCGTGCGTCATACATGTCTAGGAACAGGATTCAGAAGAAGAATATTGCCCTAAGTAAAACAGTAAAAACGCAGAAACTGTCAAGTGACTTGCATTTTGAGAGTGGACTGTCAAAGGTTCGGTCTCATTCTCTCCCTGCTATAAGAGGCTGTCTTGGGACCAAAGGCACTTTAGCTAATACTTATATAACTTCATATATTTCTTACAGAATTCAAACAAAAGATTGATCTTATTCCACTGTTATGTGGTACTGCTTATTCCTGACTCATTAAAAGTGAGAGTGGGAAAAACAGCTAGCTAATGAAAGGTGAGGTCTGGTTTGCCTCACTCATTTATGATCAGTGGACATATGAGCAGAGGGATAGTTCTTGCTCCTGGCAGCCAGCCATCTAGAGGGAAT